AAATTTTGGTCTATCACAAACTTACAACAGTTATTTTTCAATTTCGTTATTTGAATAAGCGTTTGATGTAGAAGTTGAATGCTTAAATTGCTTATGCATGAGAATTAACCCTTATATAAAGTGATAGTGGTAACCCGATCTAAATACATATATTTAGACTAGATTACATGAAGTTTTTCTTTTTTTGAAAAGAACGTTCAATATTCAAAAGTTTGTCAATAATTGATTTGGTAAACTAAAGAAATTTCAAAGATAAATAAAATGTTTCATTTAAATCTAAATAAGTGCAAATTTGAAAAACTATTGGTTAGAAGTGAGCAGCGTTTAGAGGATTTTACCTTAAGCTCAGAAAAGAACCGGTGTTTCATGCTGTATTACATAACCTAAATTATTAAAATGATAATTATAATATTTTTCACTTATTTTGACCTAAATTTACACAAAATATTGAAAAAAGTATGAAAAAATATGTTTTATAAATATTTTGCGTCAAAGGGTTAGAGAGTAGATTGTTTCTCGTGCCTATAACTTTCTCATTCAAAATACCGATTTTAAAACTACGCAGGGTTCGTACGTTGACAAAAGAAATTTAAAACTAATATATATTTCTTAATTGTATTCTATTGTGTTAGTAAGTAAGTACCACGATATTTTCATTACTCAAAGTAATAACCTTTCCATGCAGAAACTATCGTATTTCAAACTTTAGTTTTTAAGTGGTAGCTGAAACAAAAAAAATTAAAAACTTCTCAAAACAAAAAACAGTTTGCCAGTTTTTTTTTTGTACGGAATGCACGAACCCTGCCATTTATATTTTAAATTTAAAACATTTTATTACGTGGGTAAAAATGTGAGTTTAGTATGATTTTACTGGATTAGATTGCGTCCTACGAAAAAACTGGAAATTTTTTTTTTTTTTTTTAAATTTCGTGCATATTATTTGAATTATAGGGGCTGTAATATCGGGATTGTGAACCATAAGAAGGCTTACAAGCCATCTAGAAAAACTAAATTATTTTCTATTGCGTTTATAAAAAAGATATTCTAAAACCCACCATAATACCTTGTTAATTTAAAATTTTCAGAACAGAAGTTTCTAACAAAAATTTTCTACGATTTGTCAGGAAGCTAGTAAGCCTGTAGACAAATAATATAAGCCAATGAATAACAATCATTATTTCATAATCTTTACTATTCAAATAAATTACACGAATAATAAAAAAATAATAATTAATTGATTATTATAATAGTTACCAAACAAAGTTTTTGAAAAGTACACTTTAATTTTAGCATAATTACTTTCATGCAATTTACCCTGCAAAGGACCTCAGGTTTCCAATTGAAAGAACAGGATCTTGAAATTTGAAACGTTTAAAAATCAATTGTTGCCATTAATATCAATCAATGCTTTTTCATTTTCCATTACTTATTTGGGTAAACAGTAGAGATAGGATCGGGCTCGCTTTTGGAGGTCCGCGCCAGCCCAAAGCATGAAACATTTTAATCCGACCCCACCAGAGCGCAAAGTACATAGAACAACTGGTACTCCAGGATGACAAAAACAAAAGTTAAAAAAGGAAATCAAAATATTAAGCAAATAAAAGTCATCTGACAATTAGTACTCGCCTCATAAAGCAAAAGCACTGAACAAGAAAAGCAAATCGTTGAGATTTTTATACCTTATAAATTTTACACTTTTTTATATTTAATAACGGAACCAAACGTTTGTTTAAAAGTTGTAAGAAGTTCATGAACATTTTATCATGAATTCGAGCCCTCAACTTTTTTTTCCTCTCCAATAAACAAGCCCGTTCGCAATACTAACATACAGGGGTTGGACAAAAATATGGAAGTACTTCTACACTCACTCTAGGTAAGCAATTCTTCTTTGAACAGCAAATATTTTGAAAAATTATACTTGGCAAAACTGTTGGCACAGTTTAAAAGATCACGATTGAAGCTTTTAGAAATGGTATCCTTTTTATCTATGCAAGTTAGAAATGGTGTCCTTCTTACCCCACTTGCATTGATAAAATAATCGTAGGGCAAGCTTTTTATTTTTTTGCATTTTCACTACCACTATATTTTTTAAAAAAAGCCTTACATAAAATTGAATTACGTAACTCACCGGAGCTAGATAAACTACAAGTAGTTGAAACATGGTGCAGCAAATGGCGCACAAAACTACACCCCGACAAAAGTCAATTATTAATCATAAATAGTAAGAAAAAACAACAAAATACTCCCCATATCTATCTCTTCAATACTGAGATCAAACCAGTGAAACACGTTAAATACCTCGGCGTCACGATCTCATATAATTTGAGCTGTACTCACATAAACGACATAATCAAAAGAGCCAGAGGAGCGTTTTTTGCGCTCAAAGTCCTCCTGCATAGGAATTCAAAGCTTGATCTAGCAAATAAAAGAACTATCTATATACAAGCGATTCGACCAATTCTTACGTATGCTTGCCCAGCCCTCACTACCATAAGCAACAACCTAAAAAAGAAGCTATCTACAACTGAAGGTAAATTTTTACGCACAATGACTGGCGCCCCAAGGGCGATTAGCAATAGATTGCTCAGAAAAGACTTAAACATTGATGATATCAATTGCTTTATAGCTAAATTGACCACAAAATTTTACAGCGACGCAAAGACATGCACCACATCGGATTTCAATAAATTGTTCGATATTGATATAATCAGTGATAATTCGAATTTCAGCCCAATTACCGCCTTTTTATGCTCAGACTGCATACTATCAAAATACTATTAACTTTATCATACAACTCTACTCAAGGGGATCTCCCCAATTCAAAGATGATTTTCCCTTCAAAACTAAAGATTTACTCCTTAAGGACTTGACTTGTTGTTACAACATACTACAACTTCAAAGATATATAGGACCTCCCAGAATACAACAAAACAGAATCGATGAATCGGTTAGTGGCGCTTCGCGCCAAACGCCGAGATAACCCCAATATCCAGCATCCAACTCACCGGAGCTCAATGAAAAAGTGCCAACTCGCGCCGCTTTATAAAAAGTATTTTCTAGTGGTATCAAAATTCAAGTAATTTTTGGTTTAGTTTCATTTTAAATAATTTTTACACCACTACATATCGAAAATTCTATATATCATATGAAATGCAACTTAATTATACATTACTCGTGGTTACTCTTTTAAAAAGTAGGCGTATTTATCCTTATTCTACGTGTTTTACTATTCAATTAGTTACCAATTTATTAAAACTTCTACAGAAAGCGGAGTAGTTGGCATCCCTGCCAATGGTTTGTCCGTAACGAAAAAATCCATCAAGACTTCAAAATTGATCCGATTGCCAAATTGAATTCTAACTTTTTTGTAAAGGCATCCAAGTGTGATGTCACTGACTTCAACGAAATTTTTCATTTGGAATATCTGAGGCAAGATGTTTCAAAAAGACTACTGCAGCGATGATTCTGGTGTAGGGATTTCAAATCTTAAATTAGTTTTGTTCGCAGTGCAATATATTATTTCTAACTGATATTTTTAGTTTAGTTTATTTTTTGTCTGGAGTTTATAAAGAACGCATAGATTAGCATACATGCATATACATTTGTCTCTTTTTTAGAAAATAACATTTAAGACAAAAAACACATAACCTTAACCCTCTTAGGTGTAGTGCAGCCAGTGTGCCAACACCAATTCAACAAATGTTACGAACCACAAGAAATGTAAAACTAATTGCTTTTAAGCTTATAGCAACCACTATTCTTGAGACCAATCTTTCCAATTTTGAAATCTGGTCTGTAATGGCCCCCCTGATCGCTTAGGAAAAAGAGGGTTCCTGTTAAAGGTTCTTCCCCTGTCGGTGTCTGTCTTTCCAAAACTGTTGGAACCACAAATTTGTCTTTTGAATTCTCTGAACTCTGCAAAAGTTGCATCGAATTAGATTAATGCTCCTTCTTCACGATCATCTTGTATCTTCATTTCGACATCATCATCTACTCAACCTCTCCAAAAGTGGTGGAACCACAAAATTTTGTATTTTTAATTCTCAGAAAACTTGCAAATTTTGCATCGAATTAGTTTGAAGTTTCTTCTCCACGATCATCTTGTATCATGACTTCTTCATCATCATCAACTCTTTATCCTCAACTCAACTTCCTATCTTCAACTCAAATATGTTACTTCACTTAGAATGTATTTTTTAAGGTAGCTTTTGCTATTATCCTGCTGCTGACTATAATTTTCTATCGAAATTTAGAGTTCCAGAAAGGACACCAAACATAATCAATCAAATCATAATCAAATCAATCGCATCATAAACTGAAATGTATTATTGCCTTCTTCCAATCACTCCCTACGTAGCAGAGCAGTGAGGACACATAGAATTCACTCAAGTGAATTTTATAACATAATTGTTAGGGACATATTATAAACCCTTTCAGGTGCAGTGAAGCCCAGTCTAGCAATTCCAAATCAGCAAATGTTACAAACCAATAGAAATATAAAACGTATTGTTATTAAATATGTAGCAGCCACTACTCATTAAGTAACATTTATTTTTGTCATGTATGTTTCTTAGTCTAATCTCAGGATAAATGGGAAAAGGGCCGTAATGGTCTCAGGCGTCCAGTTCCACTACAACGAACGAACGAACTCATTAAGCAACAAAGAACTAAATATATCGCTCTAGTTTACTGTCTTAGGTCGAACTTGCTAATGTCCAGTTTGATCAAAATTAACAATCGAAAATTGCTATTTCTGAAAGAGTTAAATTGCATTAAAACTGAAGATTTGCACTGAGAAATTGATTGCAGATTTGAAATAAGTGACACATAAATATCTAAGATCTGTTCAATAATATCAAGCATCAGAAGAGAAAATATTCCCCACTGTTATTTTCGCGGAGCACTAGCAACCCCGTGAAAATTATATTTCTCCATTTTTATTTATTTATATAATCTATATTTCAGTTTGTTTTTAATAATTTGGACATATCTTTTAACAGAATTAACTCCAAAGTTCAGAGGCACCGAAATCGACGCGTCTGCCACAGCGTGGAAGAACTACAAACGCAGAGAGTGCTGGCCAATGTCAGAGAACGGCAGCGGACGCAGAGTTTGAACGACGCTTTCTCCGCCTTGCGACGCATCATACCCACTTTACCATCTGACAAATTGAGCAAAATCCAGACGCTGAGGCTGGCCACTCGTTACATAGATTTTCTCTACCAGGTATACCATCGAATTATTTTATAACATTTATGTTTTCTAATTTTAGTTTAATGAAACTTAGTTGGATAAGTACAAATGCATAAAAGAACAAAAATTACCTCCAATTTTGATATTCATTAATATCTAATTTAGGAAAAGGTTTGGTAGAGCTATTTTAAAATGTGTTCTATAGTAAATAGTTAAGTTAAAAAGCTGCAAATGTTACTATGAACACATTAAACTTTCATAGATTTAAAATTACAATGATGTCTTATAAGAACAAAAGGTTACTATTTTTGTCTTTCCAAAAAAAAAAAATATTGGCTTATTAAAGAGCAGAACGGAGAGGGAGATCAAAAATTAATTTAAGAAAATATATAAAACTAATGAAAGCACAGAAAAATAAATTTGACCTATATTTATGAAATATAGTTCCAAGTATTGAGGTTTAATTTTAAGAGGTATAATCCTTTTGGATCGAGCTTGCAAGACAATATGGGCAACATATTACCAAAGAATAAAAAGTGGTAGTACATTTATTTTTAAAAATCTATAATAGCTGCTGCATTACAAATATAAATGTAGACTGGATAGGGTACGCATTTAACTACGAAAATATATTTCTACATTGTTTCCAAATATTATTTGAACATTAAAAAAAAATTAAAATGAAAGTAAAGTATTCTTGACAAATTTTACCACATAAGTTGAATTATTATATTCCATAGTTTACGTTATTGTCAGAAAGTCCTGGCTTCGAATCCCAGACTAGACAGGGATGCTCTTTCATTCTCTGTACTATCAGTGAGAGCAACGCTGGCCCATCTAATATGGCACCCCAGAAAGAATGACCTACAAATTTGCCCTACTGATACCTGAATGACGAATGTCAATCGGGTGGGCATTGAAAAAAAGAACAAACACATTATTCTAGAACATTTTTTAAAATATATATCATGATTATAACCTTTTACATCAGCCTGCATATTCTCAGATTGTTGCAAAAAATTTAAATTTTTATTTTGTCAATTATTGTATAATTTTTTTGCAGGTTCTGCATTATGGCGAAGAGGAAGATAGTTCTCAACAGCAACAAAGTCTGTCTAAAGGAAGTTATTTGGCCCACGAAAGGCTGAGTTACGCATTCTCTGTTTGGAGAATGGAAGGAGCCTGGTCAACACAGTGAGTCTACGTCTAATTAACACTGTAAAGGTATTAACATTTTTATAAATACTTTATCTATTTTGGATTCGAAAGTTACTGATACTCATATTAAAAAAAAATATCTCTGTACTCCCATACACTTTCTACGAATTTTCTCATTTTTATTCAAATTCTCAATTTTTTTTTTTTTTTTTTAAATTTAACATGTTTGTGCGCTACTCCACCATTTTAGTTGCAAAAAGTTTCTCACTTAGTACATATTGATAAAAATATAAGCCAGTAAACATTTTGTTTTTAGTTAATCACAAAAAATTAGAAATTAATATTTTATATGTATTTAGGAAATTTTATATTTCTAGATTTTTCCAGATTCCAGTAAAATTTTTGTTCAATAAATTTAAAATATACGAAAAAATTAAAACCTTCATAAAAATTAGCAAATTAAAAATTAGCATAAAAATTAAAAATTAGCAAAAATCATCAAAATTTAATTTAGTGACATAACGGAGATTTTCAGACCACTGAACTGTTTTCGTTTTTGCTCATAATCTTTCCTGCAATTAAGAATATTTTGGAATTTTTGTTAGGATTTTTAATTTGGTACGAATTCACCATTTTTTTTTCTATTCACTACAACTACTGCAATGGACGTAGAAAAAATTTTATTACAAAAATACAAAATTTGCTCTAAAAATAATCTTTTAATGATGATTTGAAAATTATCAAATTTAAATTTTGTTACCAAACGGAGAAATTTCGATAGTTGAATAGACGACATTTTCCCTCTTTGTGCAGCAAATTATTTCTGCAATATAAATTATTGTGGTCTCTATGTTTGCAATAGAGATGAGACGGGCTCACCCCGAGCCAGACGAGGACTGGGTCTCGTTTACTGAAAATATGATTTCGAGCTCGGTTACGCTCAAATTCATCGTAAAATTTTCATGAACTTTTTTACTACTTTTAAATAAACGTTTGGTTCAGTTATTGAATGCTAAAAAAAATTTAAAATTTAAATGGCATAAAAATTTAACAGCGATATTATCAAATTGACTTTTATTTTGCGTCAGCCTTTGATTTTCTATTTTAATTTTTGTTGGATTTTAATTTGGTTCAATTTTAGTTTCCGCGTTTTCTTTTACAAGTTAGCGTTAGAAAAGATTTTAATTTACTAATTCTCTTGTTTAAAGGCTAAGAGACGAGACCCCGAAATTTAGTTTTCATCCGATTTGGTTTTTCTTTGCTCTTTTGGTATATCTCGAACTCTACGTAATCTCGGGCTCGGACCTCAAAAAGCGAGCCCGAGCTCATCTCAAGTTTGCAACGATATGGTTGGATAAATGTGTGTCAAAGTAAAGAAGAAAAAAATTAGAAGCATTTTTTTAGAGACAAAAAGAAACATTCACGGAATAAGCAATCAGTTGAGGAATTTTGTCGTCAAGCTGGACCCCCTTTTTTTCAAGGTGAGCGGCCAAGATGAATGTAGCACCTGTCAAAAGGACTTACATCACAATCCCCGTCGTCATCCCTTAGTTTCACGGTGCAAGATCATAAGATTTTGCGGCAATCACACAGGAAACAGAGGACCGTTCTCGGCACCTGCTTCAGTCCTTCTCATCCCCTCTTGCGCATCCCCATCAACAATCCCTTCTTGTTCCCTCCCATATCCACCCCCCGCAAGACACGCGTCACGGAGCATGGGGATGAACCCCTCCCCCACCTACCTTTTCACAGCTTCCTCATCGTTTCTGCAGTCATGAAATGTTTAAGTGTGTTTTCGTAGTTTCTTGTAAGCTTTATGAGATAGTCTTATCTTTTTTAAGTTTAATAGTAATTTCGAAAAATAAATTTGAATATTGCTATCTCAGTTCGTAACAAAAATAATTGGAGAGATTTATTTGTTGAAAATAATTCGAAAAGCTAAGTAGAAATATAATCTAATTAAATCTTTTGTATTAAAATACCAGAAAGCTATTTGAGAATCCATACTTTAAACTAAAAACTTCTAAATTCTTTAAATAATTAAATGATTCCTTTAAATAGTTTAAGACGTTGTATAAAGGCCTAATATTTAAATAAATAAAAGATTAGGCCAACCTAGTCGTGGAAAAAAATAAGCATATTTGGGGATTTTTTGCACACAGCGGTACAGTAGACAATGTCGTCAATTCTCGGTGTGGAGTAAGAATTTCTCACAATTTTAACCCTGCTGTTACGTCATATTATGACAACTAAATTTGCACTAACCAAAAAATAGAGCGAAAAAAAACGTAAATATTGTTAGTATATTAAAAATCAAAATAATATTTTTTAATAATTTAAATTTAAAAGATAACAATACTAGAGAGCAAAACAATAAGTATATTCAAGAACTTCAGGAGAAAGGCATTTTTTCGGCGGAAAGCATTCTGTAGACATTTCTAAGAAAGTAATGGACAACGTGTGATCTTTTAATTTTGCAACGTAGCAAGTTAACTGTTAACCGAGCTCACAGCTTTATAGAAAGTTTTTACTCACCTTTGTCCCATATCAAAACAAGTACCGCATTTGAAGCATGCTGGTTCCTTTCCTTGTACATGCACAAACAAGCAGAGCTCGTTATGTAACAGAATCTGTAGAACCTATTTCCTGGCTTCAAAGATCAACAAAAGTTGAGCCAATATTTACAATGAAAACAAAACAGGTTAAGGGGCTTTGCTCATAATGAGTTGTCTATTATTAATTATATAAAATGACACCAAGTTAGTGCTGCCATCTGTTAGCTTATAAATAAAATTCTTTCTAAGAATATAACATTCATTCGGAAAAAATATCTTTTATTAACCGATTAATATGAAAACTTCGTAAGTATGCAAACAGGCGGCGTCCTGCCCACTGACATGTTAGATAAACCTGTCTGAGGTTAAATGAATAAGAGGGTGATCTTCATACGGTAATTTCTTTTTTTTTTAAAAAAGAAGAAAAAAAAAAAGAATTGGTAGGCATAAATTTTGTAGATTAAATTTAAAGAAAAAAGTCACACGAAGTTTGAGCGTATGGTGACGGTGACCAAATCTGATCATTTAAACTAGAAATTACTTGACTAAACATTATTCACCAATAAAAACACGTTGTTCTTTCTTGTAGCGGACGTTTGTCTTGACAGTTGACTCATTGTCAGCTAATCCAATATTTTAATGCATAAATGGCATAAAATTATTATCTTGCGTGAATTTTGGGATATCTTGTTAAATATTTCTTCTTTCTTCAAAAGAATAAATTCAATATTTTTGACAAAAAATTTTAATGTCTTAAAATGTTTTCTAAACTTAGTATTTATTTCTTTTCCAGCTCCTTAGAAATTGGGACCCAAGTTAAATGTTAAAGCCATTTATGTTACAGTATACGTACTTATCCATGTCTCACAGCGCTGGACGTTTGAATATACAATGGATGAATAATCAATACATGTCCGACGAAATTATTTTTGTAAAAAATTTACAATTAATACTTGAATTTTTTATACTATTTATATATTTAGAAACATACAAAATGTTATTTATGTATAGTTTTCTTTTCCTCAGTTTAGTAATTCTCTCAGAAATGTATTTTACGTTTGTATGCAAGTGTTTCTTTTTAATTTAATCTTAAATTCGAAAATATTATTTTATAAAGACTTGGATCATCTCTAAATTTTCCTAAATTGTTTTGTTTTTCTGTTTAGAAACCTTTTTTTTTCTCTTTTATAAAATTTTAACGTGCAAATTCTTAACAAAATCAATTATTTACAATTGTATTTTTTAAAAATTTGTTTTTAATATAAAAAAAAACACACATAGTCTTAATGAAGAAGTTTTTAATGCTCTGAAATTTCTAAATAAATTATTTTCTAACACTATTTTTACAGGTACTGCCTGCTTAGATGTAAAATAATATTTATATAAAGTTTCTTTTTTGTATATAAGAATAAGAAATGTATTATTTATAAGAGTATTAAATAGTCTCTAAAATAAAAGAACTTTAGTTCTATTTATAATTTATTCCATTATTTACGAGTTTGTCCTACAATTTGAAATATCATTTTTAAAAAAACTGGTGGAAAAAGAAATGTTTGATTTGCTGCTGTCAGCTTAGGTAACCAGATTTTACTCATTACACTTTAAATTTTAATCGAATTTAGTGATCAGATTGCCTTGTTAAGGTATCCGACTACCTTCGGGACAAAATTTTTGAAAAATAAATATTTTCCCCAACATTATTGCAATTTATATTGTATATTAATTTAAATCAACATATTTAATAGAGAAAATTTAAATATACAGGAAATTTTTTGTTTAAAGAGTATTTTTTAGATAATTTTAATGAAAATAACTCATTAACGGAAAACACACTACACAAAAAACTATTGTACATACAGCTATCAAACTTTTTGAGCCGTTTCGTATAACCCTCTGAAGTGTTATGAACCTCAACTTAAATGATATCATGAAATTAAAAAAATTTATGGAGTGTTAAGCATATTTTTTCATTTTTTTTCACATTTTCTTCACATTATCTACTGTAAAATATCTCATAAAACAAAAAATACAGTTATCTGAATTCTGGAGGTCTGTTATATAACCACCAATACAAGAAACAATCTCTGAAAGTTTGAAGACAAATTTATTATAATTAGTTGAGTTATCTTGTTTTCCGTAGACAAAAAACAGCAAAAGTTTCATTTTGAGAAAAACACAATTAAAGTTTATAATTACATATTTCCTAAAAACTATGAATGTTTGTCAGTTGGAAGCTATTATATTTTATAGGGGGCACATTCATTCACACATTTTCTTAGTTTTATTTAACGTAGCGATATTTTAACGTATTATTTAGCGATATTTTAAAGTATTTAGTGAATAACATCATAAGTCTACTACTTATAAAGCATTTAACACAGGAACAATTTTTTATTAAACAACCATCTTACTGTATTTTCACACTTTAATATATATGTCTAAATATAGTTTTTATTAATAATTAGAAGTAAAAAATATTTTTTATAATATTTATAATAGCCCAAATCTAGAATTTTCTTCTAAATGCCATTTGTTATCATAGCAAACCGGACAACATAATGAAGCTAATATCATCATCAGGATCTCAATATCAATTATTCGATTGCCACACAGATTGTTTTTATCCAAAAGGATCAGTTCTTTATTGACATCCATAGAAATCGATAATTTTGAAGAGCTTGAAGTAATAGATTCATCTGCTTTACACAATTTTGAAGAAATGGTATAATCAACTTTACTCAAATCATCGCTTTCGTTGGCATGTTGATTACCGCAATATTTACGTTTCTTAGATCGAGAAGTACGTCCTTTACCCATTTCAATAAATTCATCAAAATAAATAACAAATTTTTTTGAAAGAAATCAATAAATTTCTTCAAAACAAATCAAGACATAGAAAGTACGCTTCAAATGTAAACAAACTATAAGAAAATATGCTAACTTTTCATGTTACCCACAAACAGTAACCACGAAACGTAAAATCTAATTAAAATATAATTCAGATTATTAGCCGTGAGTTTAAGAGCTTTTAAAAATTAAATATCTAAGAAAAATAAACACACAAATAGAAATGGAACCGAAACTATTACCTACTACCGGCTTCATTTTTGTAATTTCCGGTAAGTTGGACAGCTGTCATCTGTTACTAAAATAGCTATAACTAAAGTTCTGCTTGACGTGCATTCAAAAACAAAACAGTTTTGAAAACTAGAAAAATTGGGCATTATTATAAAGCAATAAAATAAAAAAGTGATTTTTTGTGAAAATCCTCGTTTTTAAGGTAGTCGGATACCTTAACTGATAATCTATATAAACAAAGCTCTAAAAATAACGACTAATTGCAAAAGCAATAGTTTGCAGTATGATGGCATATTTAGTAGACATTCATGCAAATCAGTCAATTGAACTAGCTTACCATGCAGCCGAAAAGATTGATTTTTTACTAGGCGAATACGCCATCTGTTGACAAATTTGATTGCTAATTTTGAATTTTCTATTGAGTAAGTGAATTTTGATTGCTATTAAGTAAGCTTCTAAGTTTCCTACGATTGTTGTTTCCGACCGTACGACTAAGAAACTACGTAGTACAGTAAGAAACTACGATCGTAGTTTCTTGTATATATAATATACAAGAATATAATTTTTGTATATTATATATACAAGAAACAAAAACCGGAATTCAGTAAGAAACTACGATCGTAGTTTCTTACTGAATTCCGGTTTTCTTTAATAAATTTTGCACATCAGTCATTTTTGGAGCATCCAACATATGAATATCAAACTATACTATTTTGGAATATATTAGTTAGTAAAAATTATGAATTTTATACGAAATAATATTTTTTTTCACAATATTATGATATACATATTCACAATATTATGATATACATGAATATCAAACTATACAATTTTGGAACATATTAGTTAGTAAAAATTATGAATTTTATACTAAATAATATTTTTTTTCACAATATTATGATATACATATACATATTCACAATACTATGATATACATGAATATCAAACTATACTATTTTGGAATATATTAGTTAGTAAAAATTACGAATTTTATACGAAATAATATTTTTTCACAATATTATGATATACATATACTTATATTTTTATTTATGCTTATGAATCTGCATGTAAAGTTGCTTAAATAAAGTAATATTTTAAATAATTGTATATGCTAGTCAATTATTTCATTACTGTTACAAAATGTGGAGAATAATTAACAAGAAAATAAAGAATTACATTAAAACTGCCAATCAGTTTAAAAGGTTCTTACGTGCTGACGACTACAAGCACATACATGAATTCTTTTTTATTTAAGAATTAGCCGACTGCGGCGATTAGTTGTTCGGCCTACATTAACTCACATCATCGCGACTCCTCATTAGTTGCTTATGCCTTCGGCAATACTGTTCCAAATCCTTGGTATTAGTGCAAATCAGAGGGCTTGCAATTTAGAGGGATTTCAATTGGTCTGTTTACAAAATCTTATCTCTTCACGTTTTCAGATAACCGAGCACGAGCTTACCTCTTCGCTGCCAAATGGCACAAAAGCCGGAATCGGCTATGCTGTGCCAACACATAACTTTAATTAATGCAAAAATAATATTTAGCATAACTGTGAATTTGGCTAATTACTGAGATAATTATCAAATATCTAAATAAAATGTTTAATAAATTGTCCTAAATTAAGCAGAAGTTAATGTTTTTCTTTACTATGTAATACGGAACACATAGTCCAAATTTGGTGACTTCGATCTAGATGGAAACACTCTAGTTAACATTACTGTTAATTAGTGCAAATATAAAATTTTAGTTGTAAAATGTTTCAGTTTTTCTTTATAATCTAATAAGAAACACGTTGTTCAAAATCGGGGACTACAAAATCGTCCATTGCTGTCAGTTAGGATAATTACGAAATATAAAATCATTTTAGTTTTTCTTTATAATCTAATTAGAAACACATTACTGGATAATCACTCCTGACTTACCTGGATAATTATTAAATATCTAAATTGTAACCTGTACTAGGAACATGGTTCAACCTTCTTAGAGAATCGAGTTAGATATCTCAGCCTTTTGGAAATATTGTAAATAAAAATATATGTGAGATGATTTGGATTTATCAATTTCTTACATTGAGATTAGAACAAATACAATCGCGACTTCTATTTTCATTATTTATTTAATAATTTTTTTTATTATTTTTTCTCAATACAGATGCATGAAGGTCAGTTGTATGAGAGCCAGGATTAGGCCCTCTTTGAGAATCGAGAATCTGAGGTGAATGCTGTACATGAACAATATAAATAAATAAAATTAAAAGGCGATTTTGATTCATCAAGTTATATACTTTTGGTTGCTCATACCCTTCAGATAACATTCTCGAGTAGACCACAAAAATTCATAAATGAAGTTAAAAAAAAAAAAAAGACACTTCCTTTGGTCTCATTATTTTTCACTTTTATTTTCCTTCTTGCCTTCCCTCCCCCCTTTCCTCATCTTTCTGCCTCAGAAAGCACTCCAAGAGGGAATTCGAGCAGCTCATCATCTTTTTCCCTAGAGGGAACCCTCACCCCCCTTCCACTTCAGTCAAGAAGGTCAAATAATACTGTCACTTTCTGTGGCGACACGTCTCCCCAGAGCGCTACCGTTTTACTCCGATGAAAAAGAAAAGAAAAAAATTAATAATGAATCACACGAAACAAAGCTTTAAAACACAAGCAAAAAAAAAATTATTAGAGTAAGGATCTCTTAACCTCTTGACGTAGAATTTTAAATAAACATATTTTTCTTACTTTTTTCATTATTTTGTATTAATTTAGATCAAAATAAACGAAAAATATTATATTTTGCATTTTAATAAATTATGGTTAAGAAATGCAGCATGAAACACCGGTATTTTTTTATATTATTATTTAAAAGTCTTCCAAACATGACTCACTTCCAAACGATATATATTTTTTTAAAATTTGCCCTTATTTAGATCTAAAAGAAACAATTATTCATTATTAAAATTTCGTTAATTTACAAAATCAATTATTTTAATAA